TGACTGGGGAACGGTGAATGAGATACAGATTTTTTAATATTTAAAAACTGGGGGAAAAAGGGGCGTAACTGCCCATTTTTACACCTTATTCCCCCAGTATTTAAATATTTAAAAATCTGTATCTCATTCACCGTTCCCCAGTTTCTCGTCAAATAACTTTTTTCTGTCTTAGAAAAATCAGTTCTACAACATATCAAAAATTTTTTTTCCTCCGGAGCCTGACTTTAAATGTAACGTTTTAACCAAACATGCAAATGTGCATCTTTCTTTGTTGTAAAAAAAGGTTAAGTTTCTCTTCAAATTAGTTATGTTTCTTTTATTTAAATAGGCCCACCCATATCAGAATTCCCCCCCCCCAAAAAAAACCCCAAAAAAACCCCTTCCCCACCCTTCCTCATCAATTTTTTGATGAGGGAGGGAGTGATATTAATTTAATATTTTTCTATTTGTATCTTATGGTTAAGTATAGTATTTTTATTAATTTTACCGGGAAAGCAAATTTCATTATGAACTTGAACTTTTTCACGCTTGATCGAGTTGGTAAACACTGAAACACAACACACTCTCGATCATTTTGTACGCTCGAGTTGGCTCGAGTTGCTTCTTGTCGTTTTTATCTGCTGCCCAGCGCCCGTCCACGGCAAATGAAAAATTTACACGTCAACATAGCAGAAGTCGGGACAAATTATGTATTAGAATTTTGTTGATTGATTGTTTTTACACGTTTTTAAACTATTTTGACACATGATGCACTATTATTAATATTATTGGCTATTTTTTGAATGAAGGCTCTTCAAATAACCGTCACCCAAGACGGCGATAGGAGAGAACCCGAGCTAGGCAGCCGGAAGGGACACGGATACACGAGCATTGATATCAGTGAAAAACACGGTCGAAGTAACAGCCGGTCTCAGACAGACGACGACAGCATGCAAGGCTCTTCAACTAAACTCATTGTCTGCTTTTTTGGCATATTTATATGTTACTTCTACTATGGAATTGTACAAGAAAAAGTGTAAGCTGGGTTTTCTTGTTTCCATTCAGATATTGCTAAGCCTTGGCCGAGGATTTTTCCTAGGCCTATCCTAGGCCCGCCGCCAGTGTTTTGTGGTTTAGCTGAAACCGCTTTCTCAGTCAAGACGGCAAGCTAAGAAGAGACTGGCTAGCCTGAACATTGGAATCCGAACATTGAAACTAGGCCTAGGCTAGACTAGCAGTCAGTAGTGCTGAATGACTAATTTCGATCTAAGTTTTATAAGCTGTTCATCAGCTTTCCATCAAATATTTCCAATGTTGTATACTGAGAAGCTTGAAGTGAAATACTAGTACAGTAATTGTTAAATTTTGCTGACCGACAGCACCGTTAGTAATTCACAATGTTGTTTAATCCACAGAGTATAATAATTTCTTGAGCTCAGCACCATAATAATTATTCATTTTGTTCTAATGATTTCAGGACAAGAAGTACATATGGAGAGGGAGACAGGTTTACAGACTTTTTTTGTTTAGTTTTTTTTCAGTGCATTGTAAATGCCATGTTTTCAAAAGCTGGTAAGTTTTAAAGCCATTTTCTGAAAGATAAACAATTAAATAATTAGCCTGAATTAAATAATCTCAATTAGTTATTGTTGTAATTGGAATTTGTTTGAAATGAAATTTTCTGAAAGATAAACAATTAAATAATTAGCCTGAATTAAATAATCTCAATTAGTTATTGTTGTGATTGGAATTTGTTTGAAATGAAATTTAGCTTAGGTTTAAAATAGCTAATGTAATAGAAAAATTTTTTAGATTGTCACTCCCACCTGCGTCAACATTTTTGGAAATATTGATCCGGGAATATTTTTATTTTTTTAAATTTATTTATTTTTTTTATCATTTATTTTAAGTGCATAAAAACAACTTTGCAAAAAAAAAAATGCTCACAAAATGTAAAGGAATTGGCTCGGAATTTGGCAGACTTACAATTGATTAGATCAGACATTGGGATCACTGTAAAGTTGAAAATGCAAAGCCCATTCTTTAAAATTGTTTACTGTCGCTAAAAATAAACAACTCGCTAACTGCGGTTAAAAATAGACAACACCATGGTTCATCTCTAAAGAGACCCGCCCATTGGGCTGATCAGATCGTTAATTCACAGCGTTTAGATTGCGTGTTCCACAGCTGCAGCTAAATAAAGGCAACACCGACATCCGTCCCTAAAGAGACCCCCCTCCCCCCAGTGGGCTGATCAGATCTTTAATTCACAGCATGAAGACTTGCATGTTCCACAGAGTCTCTCGCTGGTAAAAATAACTTGTTACATAATGCATTACAAGTGGGCGGTCTTCCTTGTGGTGGCTGTGTTTGGTTACTGGTTGTTGTTGGGCAAAAGCTAACCTACGACATCAAGAAAGAAAGTTTAGGCAAAGGCTGGCCCAGCTCGAGGTAAAGACCAAAGCCTAGGCGCTTATGCCTACTATATAACTATAATTTGGGTGTTCCTTTCCCTTTGATGCTCGAGTAATGTCTGATTTTTTCACCGGAACATAGGCTTACAGTAGTTTTGGATAGGCCATTGAATCACAGGGCAGTTGTTTAAATGCATCTGCCACCTTGAAAAGCGATGTCATGTTCGTTCTGTTCATGCACGCGGGAATCCCCGGGTATATCCAGGTGAATTTTGATTGTTTTTTTCCACTCTTGACGAGATTCTATTGGTTAAATTTCATTGATGATTGTGTTTATACGCATTTATATGATATATTACAATTAAACATAGATGTTGTACATGTTTTAAAATTAGACTGTATACACCATACTGTAGATCTTTCTGCTAAGCCTTGGATATTGTTGCAAAGGTCCCACAAGACTATAGCCTTAATGTGCGTAAACATGTGTGTTTGTGGACAATGTGTGTGTTTGTTGGACACGTGTCTTATTCCTGGCACTGTTCTGATTGGTCGATTGTTAAGTTTGATTGACACTCCAGAAAGGTCAATTAAACAGTATTACAATATCAAAATATTTTACACTGTTATGGTAATTAGTTATTAATGCATAGCAGATTCTTCACTCTGCAAGATAATTATACTATTTTTTTTTTCCTTCAAAATTCAAACAGCAATTGCCATTACTAAGCCTGAACCAGACCCAACAACATGGAAGCTGTATGCTGTGTGTTCAACCACATACTTAGGTGCAATGGTTGCCAGTAACTCAGCTTTGAAATATGTCAGTTACCCATTGCAAGTTTTGGGCAAGTCATGTAAACCAATTCCAGGTGAGAAAATAACTCCTTTAACACCTGTTTTTTAAAATATGTTATTAACATTTTATGTTATTACCTCATCATAAAGCTTTCAATCATTTTTAATTCATTAAAAAAAAAATTGGAACAATGAAAGTTCATTTTTACTCATCAGCGCTTAGAGGATTTATGCATATAAGTGTTATATAAGACCGACATATTATTATTATTATTATTATTATTATTATTATATTATCAGCCAGAGTCAGCTAAGGGCAAATACAAAAATTTATTAGATTATCACTCCCGCCCGCATCAAAAATTCGAGGAATATTGATGCGGGAATTTAAAAAAAAATTTTTTTGCCGCATCAATTATTTCAACAGCATAAAAATAACAATGCAGTTTTGTGACTTCAAATACATTTTCTTTAAAAACACTATAAAACTGGTTTAATTTTATAGTATTTTTAAAGAAAATACATTTTCTTTAAAAACACTATAAAATTAAACCAGTTTTTATACAATATTTACTATTACTAGCCAAATATAAACAGTCCCTCCC